TAAATAGAATATTTTCAAAAGAAGACAGAAGGAAGGCCAAAAGGCACATGAAAACATGCTCAAAGTCACTAATTATCGGAGACATGCAAATCAAAACAACAATGCAGTACCATCTCACACCTGTCAGAATGGCCAACATCAACAAATCAACAAACGACAAGTGTTGTTGAGGTTGCGAAGAGAAAGGAACCCTCGTGCACTGCTGGTGGGAATGCAGACTGGTGCAACCACTGTGGAGAACAGTGTGGAGTTTCCTCAAAAAACTGAAAATGGAACTCCCATTTGACCCAGTAATCCCACTCCTAGGAATATATCCCAAGAAACTAGAAACATCAATCAGAAAGGATATATGCTCCCCTATGTTCATAGCAGCACAATCTACAATAGCCAGAATTTGGAAACAGCCTAGGTGCCCGTCAACAGATGATTGGATCCAAAAACCATGGTACATCTACACAATGGAATACTATGCTGCCATAAACAAGAAGGAATTCTCATCATTTGCAGCAACCTGGATGGAATTGGAGAACATCATGCTGAGTGAAATAAGCCAGTCAATGATAGAGAAACACCACATGACCTCACTCATTTATGGATAATAAAGAACATTATAAACTGATGAACCAAAAGATAGAGACAGTAAAGCAACAAATAGACTGTCAAATTATAGCAGGTAGGGTAGGGAGATCTGGGGGAGATAATAGATCAACCGAAGGACTTTATACATGCATATAAGTACAACCAATGGACACAAAACTCTGGGGAGGAGGGTATGTAGGGGGGGGGGGCCGCAATGTTAAAATATGTACACAGATAATAATTTAATAAAAAATAATAAATAATAAATAAATAAAAAAGAACAGACCCAGAGATAAGGAGCCATGGGTCAGACTGTTGGACCTCAGAGGGAGGGTGGGGATAAAATGGACAGATCAACCAAAGGACTTATGTGCATACATATGAGCCTAACCAGTGGTCAAGGACAATGGGGGAATAGGGGCATAAGTGGGGAGGGTGGGAGATTGGAATGGGGGTTGAGGACAAATATGTGATACCTTAATCAATAAAGAAATTTAAGAAAAATATATTTAGATATTCATTTCTACTTCCTGCAGGCGCCAGTTGTGGCTCTGCAAACTGCCCATTTTTTACAGCTCTGAGACAGTGGGCCGTGGATTGAAGTTGGGGAGGGGCAGGAAGAGGATGAGACATGGCCCTCTCCGTCTGCTTACTACCTTTGCTTTTGCTTCTGTTGCTTCTGTTGGCTGGGTGACCTCAGTGGGAAATGGATGCAGGAAGAAGGAATCAAGAGTTTGCACTATCAGGAGACAGGACCTTGGCACAATTGGTCACCCAGTGCAGAAGCACAGCTAGGCTAAAACCTTTTTAATAAGATGCCTCAAACTTACCTAACCCCTTCCACTCCCGGTATCTATCACACAGATAATAGGTGCATGGCAGATTACCAGATAAACTACATATAAACATTCTTAACCTCCTATTATTAGATGCTCTATTTATCATAATTCATAATTCCATTTTTAGAGAGTTCCCCAAATGGGGCAAGGACAATCATACCCTATGTCCAACAAAAAGATTCTGGCAAAAAAAAAAAAAAAAAAAAAAGCAAGCAGTAATATTCAGACTTGGTTATCAGTATAGCAACCATTCAGAATCATATTTTTTCCTACGCCTAAGTTTTCAGAAGAATTTCCATGCTTGCCCTAGCTGGTTTGGCTTAGTAGTGGTTAGGGCATTTGCCTGTGGACTTGAAGGTCCTGGGGTTGATTCCAGTCAAGGGCACATACGTTGGTTGCAGACACAATTCCTAGCTCTGTCAGGAGATAATCAATTGTGTGTCTCTCATATCAATGTTTCTCTCGCTCTCTGTCTTCTCTTCCCTTCTACTTTCTCTAAAAATCAATGAAAAATATCCTCAGGTAACAATTAACAAAACAAAAACAAAAAATTTTCATGCTTAAGTATTATGAGAAAGTGAAAGTCCAGAACTTGTAATATTGGGAATAAAGTAACTTTATTTTTTTTGCCATGATGTCCTAGATGTGTCAATATTTTACCAATTTTGCCAGAAAATTATATACAAATCTGAAGACCACAATGGCAATAAGTGGTCAATTCATTTATACAAAAAAAAGCTCAAAAAGGAAAGTTCATGGGAAAATTAGGGATGCAACTTTGGCACTAAAGAGTAAAATTTCAGAAAACAGTTTCTATATTTTATTTCTAATGAATTTCATTTATTCTCTTCTTTATCCTGTTTATCTCTGGGCTACTTTCCTTCATCCTGACTCACCTTACCAAAAATCCTCAAGTCTTTCCTCTTCTATTTTAGCCTAATTACAAGGAACCCTTTTAAAGCCTTTTCTGGGCCTGACACTACTGCAGAAGCAAGGACCCTAATATCCATTCTGAAAAATACTAGGCAGAAACTAGAAATGAGGTGAAGGATGGTAGCATCTTTCTTAAAACATAACCAGTCATTTCTGAGGTCAAATCTGGCCTAAGAATTATGTTTCTATTTATTTTTTTTTTAATTTCTCTAGAAATATTTAAATCCCTATTTTTATTTATTTTTTATTTTATTTATTGATTAAGGTATTACATATGTGTCCTCATCCCCCCACCCCTTCATATGTTCCAATTTAAAAAACCAACACTGGCGCTAACCAATTTTGTTCAGTGGATAGAAAGTTGGCCTGCAGACTAAAGGGTTCCATGTTCAACTCAATCAGGGGCATATTACTTGGTTGAAAGCTAGATTCCCCGGTAGGGGGCATGAAAGAGGCATCTGATAGATGTTTCTCTCTCATCATTGATGTTTCTATTGCTCTCTCCCTGAAATCAATAAAAATTAAAAAAAAAAACATAAAATAAATTAAAGCAAATGTAGCACAGTATTTAAAAATAAAATAAAAAACCGAGAATCCAAGATGGCTGCTCGGGTAGGCACCTAGCCGCAGCCACATGCAACAATTTCAATAAAATGCAACTAAAATATAAAATTGTCATTACCCAGAACTACAGGAAAGTCGACTGAATGGAAATTCTACAACAAGAAGCAAGGAAGAAACCAGAAGGAAGAACGGAGGAGCTGTAAAAGCCCAAGGTACGCAGACACGTTGCGCGCGCAAAGAGGACGGAGCTAGAGAGGAGAGAGAGGCTGAGTGCCTGGCTGGCGTTCCCTAGTGGGAAGGAGATGAAACTCCGACTGTGTTGGGCCCCAGTTCTGACTGCTCTGAACCCCAGTTCTAGGCCAAACCCCGGGGATCCAGGCTCACACAGAGGGAGCTGGGCTGAAAGGCGGAACCCCGGGGAAGAGGCGAAAGGAGGTCCCGGCAGCGCCGCGCAGAGAAGGGACGGTTGGCTGTGCCGTGGGATTGCCCTGGGGGCTCCAGTCTGCTCTGAAGGCCACCTCCAACTCCACGTACAACTGAACTGAACCCCAGTTTCGGGCCCATTGGGGGAGAGACTAGACTGTTTGGCAGCAGGCGAAAATCGAGGGCGCCTTTCTCTCAGAGGCGCTTGCAAGGAGTACTGAAGGACCCTGAGTCTCAGGAGTCGCATAGGGTGGGGCTGACGGAAGTCAAAGCTGTAGGCTCCACCCTGAAACCCCGCCCCATCGGGAAAGCTGCCTGGGAAAATGCCTAAACCAAATAAATCACAAACGAAAGAAATGGAGGACAAAAAGCGACTGGATATAGAGTTCAAAACCACACTTATAAGGTTTTTCAAGAGTTTCCTAGAAAAGGCCGATAAAATAAATGAGACGTAGGAGGATGTGAAAAGGGATCAACAAGAAATAAAGAATACATTGTCTGAAGTAAAAAAATATTATACAGAGTCCTAAAAACAGAATAGAAGATTGCAAGAATCAAGTCAAAGATTTGGAACATAAAGAGCCAGAAGACACTCCTCTGCAGAAGCTAGAAGGCAAGAGAATCCAGAAAATTGAAGATGATGTAAGAAACCTCTGGGACAACTTCAAACGATCCAACATCAGAATTATGGGGGTCCCAGAAGATGAGAGAGAGCAAGATATCAAAAACATACTGAAAGAAATAGTGACAGAAAACTTCCCCCACCTGGGGAAAGAATTGGACTTACAAGTCCAGGAAGCACACAGAACTCCAAATAAAAGGAATCCAAAGAGGACCACACCAAGGCAAATCATAATTAAGATTCCAAGAGCAAAAGACAAAGAAAGAATATTAAAAGCAGCAAGACCTAAGCAGGTAGTCACCTATAAAGGAGCACCTATATGATTGTCAGCTGACTTCTCAACAGAAACCATGCAGGCCAGATGAGAATGACAAGAAATATTCAAGGTGATGAATAGTAAGAACCTACAGCCAAAGATAATCTATCCAGCAAAGCTATCACTCAGATTCGAAAGTCAGATAAAGAGCTTCACTAATAAAAAAAAAAAAAAAGCTAAAGGAGTTCATCACCACCAAACCAGAATTATATGAATTGCTGAAGGGGGTTCTTTCAGAAGAGAAAGTAAATAAAGATAAAAATTATGAACAACAAATACGTAACTATCAACAAGTGAATCTAAAAACCAAGGAAATTAAAAAAAAATCTGAGGAACAATATTAACTGTTGAATATAATAGAATCAGAGGTATGGAAGGGGAGTGAACTGATGATTCTTGGGGAAAAGGGGAGAGTGGGATGTGGGAAGAGACTGAACATAAACTGTGCACCTATGGATGAGGACAATGGGGGGTGGGGAAAGGGCAGAGGGTGGGGTGGGAAGGGGGGGAGGAACATTTGTAATAATATGAACAATAAAAATTTATTTTAAAAAAATAAAAATAAAATAAAAAATAAAAAATAAATAAAAAACCAACACTGAAAAGAAAAAAACCTTTGTAGAACACTCACTTGAATTTAAGCATTTCATAAGTTGTTTGCTCTTTTTCCAGAAATATAGGCAAAATGTGCATTCTCTAACAAAAAGAGAAATATATGTCTTACCTTGGACATAGATAGCATATTCACATAGCCCCTGGGTCTCCTGAAGCTGCTGTTTGATAATAGCCTGAAAGATGAAGAAAAATACTTTTGAAGAATGGTTAAATGCCTTCAAGGATTTTAAAGAAAGGGTAGATATGAACAAGGAGCAGATGTAAGAATCCATCGTAATTATTAATAAAGTAGTTAATTCAGATGTTTAAAAAATCTCCTCTCTTGATGGCCAGGTATTCTACATTAGGGGCTGGCAAATTATAGCCCACAGTGCAAATCTAACCTGTATATCCTTTTTTGAACAGCTCTCATAGTTTAAAAGCTCTCGTTAAAAAAAAAATAAAACAGGGGAGAAAAGATGGTGGCAGAAGAGATGGATGTATCCTGAGCCTTGTCCTGGAACGGGTGGAGGGAGCAGCTGAAACAAGAGGAATTCAGCCTGAATTTGATGAGGAGACACAGCTGGTGAGATAGTTTGCACCCAGGAAGGGCAGAAGTCCCTGGAAAAAGCCCAAACCCGTCCAAGGAACAGAAGCTACCGAGAGCCTTCCCCTACAGCCAGAGGAGGCAACAGTGCTGCAGACAGCACCCACCAGAGGAACTGCTGCCAACTGAGAAGCAGCTGCTATCATAACGGCCCAAGGAGCAACTGCAGCCAGAGAAGCTACAGCCACTCAAAGGAGTAGCCTCTGCACAGCTCCACATCTAGATAAGTTGGTGAGATCAAAAGTGGGTAAACAAAGATGCCACCAAAGGAAAGAAAAAGGAGGAAATGTCAGAAAAGCTGGTAAGTGAAACAGAGGTATGCAATATGTCAGAAAAAAGAATTCAAATAAGGGTCATAGAGTTCATAAATCGGATGGAAGAAAAAATTAACACCTTATGCAAGAGTCAAGAAGAAATGGATGAAAAAATAAACAACTTATATAAGAATCAAGAAGAAATGAAGAGTAATATAGCTGCAATAAAAAACACCATGGAAAGTTTCAACAGTACACTAGGAGAAGCGTAGGACCAAATTAGTGAACTAGAAGACAGGGAAGCAAAACACAGCTAAAATGAATTGGAATTGGAGAAAAAAATTAAAAGACAAGAGGCAAGCCTAATGGAGTGATGGAACAACATGAAACGAAGCAACATACTATAGAGGTACCAGAACAACAGGAAGAAGAACTAGGGTTAAAAAAAACTATTTGAAGAAATAATGTCAGAAAATTTCCCTAATGTGGAAGAAAAAAAGAAAAATCATACAAGCTCAGAGAGTTCTAAACAGAATAAAACCAAAAAGACCCATACCAAGACACATCATAATTACTGAGCCTTGTCCTGGAACGGGTGGAGGGAGCAGCTGAAATACTCAGGACAAAGAGAGAATCTTAAAGGCTTTAAGAGAAAGTCAGAAAGTTACATATAAAGGAACCCCCATTAGATTATCAAATGATTTCTCAACTGAAACACATCAGGCCAGAAAAAAAAAATTGAAGGAAATCTACAAAATGATGCAAACCAAGGGACAGAATCCAAGAATACTCTATCCAGCAAAGTTATCATTTGAAATTGAAGGGCAAATAAGGAGTTTCACAGACAAAAACATGCAAGTGAGTTTATCACTACCAAGCCAGCAATGCAAGAAATGCTAAAGGGACTGGTGTAAAAAGAAAAGATAAAAAGGTAGGAAGGAACACAGTCTCAAAAAATAAAAATGGCTACAAACAAGTACCTTTTAATAATAACTTTAAACGTAAACGGACTAAATGCTCCACTCAAAAGACATCGAGTGGCTGAATGGATAAACACACACACACACACACACACACACACACACACACAAAACAACAACAACAACAAAACCACCCATATATATGCTGTCTACAAAAGACCCACCTCAGAAAACAGGACTCATACAGATTGAAAGTGAAGGGATGGAAAAACATCTTTCAGGCAACTGGAAATGAAGAAGAAAAAAAAAAAAAAAAAAAAAAAAAAGCTGGGATAGCAGTACTTATTTCTGACAAAATAGACCTCAAAGTAAAGCCATAACAAAAAGATAAGAAAGGCCACTTCATAAATAATAAAGGGATCGATACAACAAGAGGATATAATCCTGATAAACATATATGCACCCAATTCAGGAGCACCCCAAATATATAAAAAATCTCCTGGAAATTATCAAGGGTGAAATCAACAACAATACAATGATAGTAGGAGACTTTAATACACCACTGACATCACTGGATAAATCGACTAAACAAAAAAATCAGCAAAGAAACAGCAATTCTAAATGACTCACTAGGTCAGATGGACTTAATTGACATCTTCAGAGCATTTCATCCCAAAGCCTCAGAATATACATTCTTCTCAAGTAGACATGGGATATTTTCAAAAATAGACCACATATTGAGTCATAAACAAAGTCTCCCCAAATTCAAAGACTGAAATCATATCAATCATTTTCTCAGAGCACAATGGCATAATATTAGAAATAAAGTATAATAAAAACACTCCAAAAAATTCAAACATTTGGAAGCTGAATAGCATGTAATTAAATAATGAGTGTGTTAACAATGATATCAAAGAAAAAATTTAAAAATTCCTGAAGACTAATAACAATAAAAACACAACAATACAAATACTATGAGACACAATGAAAGCAGTTCAGAGAAGAAAATGTATAGCTCTAAAGGGCTACCTCAAAAAAAAACAAGAAAAAAGGGTAATAAATAATCTAACTCAACAGCTCAAAGAATTAGAAAGAGAGCAACAAGTAAAGCCCACAGTGAGCAAAAGAAAGGAAATAATAAAGATCAGAGCAGAAATGAATGACACAGAGACAAAAAAAAAATACAAAAGATCAATAAAACCAAGAGCTGGTTCTTTGAAAGGATAAACAAGATTGATGAACCTCTAGCTAGGCTAACGGAAAAGCAAAGAGAGAGAACCTGAATAAACAAAATCAGAAATGAAAGAGGTGAAATAACAATAGGTCAAACAGAAATACAAAGGCTTATTAAAAAAATACTATGAACAACTCTATTCTAACAAACTAGACAACCTGGGGGAAATGGACACATTCCTAGAAAAATCCAACCTTAACTTAATCGAGAAGATATTAAAAAAAACTCAATAGGCAGTCATTGAAATTGAAGCAGTCATCAAAAAGCTTCCCGCAAACAAAAGCCCTGGGCCAGATGGCTTCACAGGGGAGTTTTACCAGGCATTCAAGGAAGAACTAAAACCTGTCCTCAGACTATTCCAGAATATTCAAGAGAAGGAACACTTCCAAGCTCCTTCTATGAAGCCAGCATCACCTTAATACCAAAACCAGATAAAGACAACACAATGAAAGAGAATTACAGCCCAATATCCTCAACAAAATTCTAGCAAATCTGATCCAGCAATACATCAGAAAGATCATACACCATGACCAAGTAGAATTTATCCTTGGGGATGCAAGGATGGTACAATATTCACAAATCAATAAATGTGATACATCGCATAAACAAATTGAGAGATAAAAATATCATAGTCATATCAATTGATGCAGAAAAAGCATTTAACAAAATCCAACACCCTTTCTTGATTAAAAACTTAGCAAGGTAGGAATAGAAGAATCATGCGCAAACATACTAAAAGCCATATATAATATGATAAACCCACAGCCAACATCATACTCAATGGGAAAAAGTAAAAACCGTTTCCCTTAAGAACAGGAACAAGACAAGATTGCCCACTCTCACCACTCCTGTTTGACAAAGTACTGAAAGTACTAGCCAAAACATACTCAGGAAAATTCTAAAAATCTGGAAGTACTAGCCATAGCAATCAGACATAAAGAAGAAATAAAAGGCATCCAAATTGGAAAAGAAAAAGTAAAACTGTCCTTATTTGCAGATAATATAATACTGTACATAAAAAACCCTAAAGACTCCATTAAAAAATTACTAGACTTAAATGAATTTGGCAGAGTAGCAGGATACAAAATAAATGCCAAGAAATCTATAGCATTTCTATACACCAATAATAAAATTACAGAAAGAGAGACTATAAAAGAAATCCCATTTATTATCACACAAAAAAAATTTAAGATACCTAGGAATAAACTTAACTAATGAGGTAAAAGACCTATATGCAGAAAACTACACAACACTGAAAAAATAGATGGGGAAAGACATAAACAGATGGAAGAACATATCATGTTGATGGATTGGCAGAATCAACATCATCAAAATGTCCATAATACCCAAAGCAATCTAAAAATTCAATGCACTTCCCATTAAAATACCAACAGTATACTTCACAGACCTAAAAAGAACTATAAAAAAAAAAAATCATCTGGAATAAAAAAAAAGACCCTGAATAGCTACAGCAATTCTGAGAAAGAAAAACAAACTAGGAGGGATCTCAATACCAGATATCAAGCTATATTACAAAGCCACTGTTCTCAAAACTACCTGGTATTGGCACAGAAGAGACAAATACATCAATAGAATAAAATAAAGAACCCCTAAATTGATCCAAATCGCTATATACTCAATTAATATTTGACAAAGGAGGCATGAACATACAATGGAGTCAAGACAGTCACTTCAATAAATGGTGTTGAGAAAATTGGACAGATACATGCAAAAAAAAATGAAACTAGAACACCAACTTATACCATACACAAAAAATAACTCAAAATGGATACAGGACTTAAACATAAAGGAAACCATAAAAATACTAGAGGAATCTTTAGAAAGAAAAATCTCTGACATATGCCTAAAGAGCTTCTTCACTGATACTTCTCCTAGGGCAATAGAAGCTAAAGAGAAAATAAACAAATAGGCCTACATCAAAATAAAAAGCTTTTGTACAGCAAAGGAAACCATCAATAAAACAACAAGAAAGCCCACAACATGGGAGAACATATTTGCCAATGATATCAACAATAATGGTTTAATCTCCAACATTTTCAGGGAACTAATGCAGCTTAACAAAAAGAGGATAAACAATCAAATCGAAAAATGGGCAACTGATCTAAATAGACAATTTTCCAATGGAGACAGAAGGAAGGCCAAGAGACATATGAAAACC